GATGAATAATCCGAGAAACAAGTGATATTTTCATCACATATAGAGAATGCGAATTCCCAATGTATTTCTTTATACACTGTGTCCATAAAGTCACCCCCCCCCTGGTTAACTATTGAACGGATGGGATTTTTTTTTTTCAATTTTTTTTTGCTTCAATGGTAGTTTCACTGCTATATATTGTTCCAAAAAAAAAAATATGTATCCTCCAAAATGGCGCCTGGGCGCCATTTTGGAAGATTTTTTTAAATGGAGTGGGGGGTCGAAAGATACCTCGATTGAAAGGTCTTTCGATTCTCTATACAACCTCAGAATCTCAGACGAAAATATTCATCCAAAACAAAATGGCGGATGATAACGTTTGAAATCTCACACCAGAATTCTTTCGACTAGATGGCTATTGAAGTGCTCGCATGTGATCTTCAAATCTCTATTGGCGTAAAGAAGAGTTCTTTATCCATGAAGATATCAATAGGAAGCCATTTTGAAGAGAATAACATGGTAGTCAATTATACCTTTGCTCGATTGTCTTTCCAAATTCTGCAAAATTTTAGAAATATTTATTCAAAATAAAGAACAATGTTTATTCCACGTGACTACCATGTTATTCTCTTCAAAATGACTTTCTATTGATATCTTCATAGATAGAGAACTCTTCTATACGCCAATAAAGATTTGAAGATCACATGCGAGCACTTTAATAGCCATCCAGTCGAAAGAATTCTGGTGTGAGATTTCAAACGTTATCATCCGCCATTTTGTTTTGGATGAATATTTTCGTCTGAGATTCTGAGGTTGTATAGAGAATCGAAAGACCTTTCAATCGAGGTATCTTTCGACCCCCCACTCCATTTAAAAAAATCTTCCAAAATGGCGCCCAGGCGCCATTTTGGAGGATACATATTTTTTTTTTGGAACAATATATAGCACTGAAACTACCATTGAAGCAAAAAAAAATTGAAAAAAAAAATCCCATCCGTTCAATAGTTAACCAGGGGGGGGGTGACTTTATGGACACAGTGTATATCTATCCATTTCTTGATGTTCACAATTCATCTGAAAATATTCCACTTCAATACTCTCACCCAATCCAGGGGTTCAAACACGAACGAAGGAAACTTAATTTTATAGACCTTCAATCGCAGATTCGTTATTATATAGGTTTTCTCAATTCAGAATTTCTTTCAACGTCCTGTATGATGAATATCAATTCGTCATACATCCAAAAATAAGAGTTGAAATACCTCCAATTATAATTAAAAATAAAATATAAGAAAATCAATAATTTGGTCTCTCACCTATATTGAAATTATACTATTTTTTTTTCTGCAATCGGCTCAAAAGTCGTTCATTCTTGTTCCAAAATTAGCTCTTGAAGTTGACGTTTCTCTTACTGACACAATAATAGTAGATTGTTTTATTAGCGAAAGCAAAATTTGCGAGCCGAACAAAGTCACTTTTGATCCGAATGAAACATGCTATTTTTTCTGCAACCGAAACAATTAACTCAAATAAACATGTGAAGTAACCACCAATGCCGTGCCATATGTATGCAATGCAACAAATATTGACAAATAATCCATGTGGTGAGACTATTTTACCTGCATTAACAGCAGGTTAGGTTTTCTAGGATGTTCGAATTGTAGTTTCAATATAAATACAACCATTGAGTGACATATTTGTGTATGGACCAGGTGCTCTAATGGCAAATACCGCGCCAGTGCCAGCTATAGGAACAAGACGTGGAAAATGTTAGGTTAGTGAGCATATCAACAATGATAATAGTGATTATTTATTCCCCTCCATACTACACTGTGTTTGACTTGATAATCGAATGAAGCTAAACAATATCGTTGTTTGAGACAAAAAAACTATTGCTTGACGTGATTATTCAAAAACAAGTTATCCATCCCGAGAATAACGAATGAAATATAGATCAAGCAAGTATTTGAATCTTGAAGGCTTGTGATCAACACAAAAATACTCAGCTGAGACGTTTATAATTCCAATACTAAACTATAATAAGGTGTATTTATATCTCCAGCATGGATATGAAACGCCAAATCTGCTGAAATCGGAAACAAATCAGGTATGCGTCTCAACCCAAATAACCAACTGTGAACAATGTTGTTTATTCTAGATGACGTCCAGTAGATCCTTTCTAGTTCCTAGGAGCTAAAGTTCAACTTTAGCTCCAAGGAACTAAAATTCAACTTTAGCTCCTAGGAACCAAATATGTTGCCTAGCAACATACCTATTTTTGTGTCAGTAATAGAAACGTCAATTTAAGAGCTAATTTTGTTATCAAAATGGACGACTTTTGTGTCGGTTGCAGAAAAAATAATTAGTATGTATGTTTTGTTTTATGTTCTGGTTCCCACGAAAAGGGATATATCCTGTAATGTTCAGAGAACATCGTGAGAACCAAGGGAAATAAGGTAGGAATTGGTGTCCTCCTTAAATTTCTGAAGGTTATATGCCCCGGGGAACACCTCCCCTGGCAATGTGTTCCAGAGCCTCGCTGTTCATTGGATGAACGAGTCTTTGGAAAGAGATGTTCTGCAGGTCTCCAAAGTGACCACGAACGGGTGCGAAGCCTCAATTCGACGGGTTAATCTCGCGAGGACTGCCAAGGGAGGAACAATAGTTGATATTTCAGAATGTTGCTAGGCAATACGAAGTTAAGTGTCTAAGAGCTAAAGTTGAAATTTAACTCCTAGGAACTAAAAACGTGTCGGATGACAGCTGAGGCAAAATAGTGGTAACTTCACTCATATTTTATTAACTCATTAGATATAAATTATTTCGATTGAAGAAAAAATATGGTGTTTCATACGGATCAAAAGTGACTCTGTCTGACTCGCAAAATTTGCATGCTCGGTTTCACGGTCGCTCCGCCTCGCAAACGCAAATATCGCTTATGAACCAAAGTGTCACATTTGATCCTAATAAAATAATGTACTAAACTACTCAACACTAATTTCGTCGCACACCAAAATGTCGCTTCTGTTATAATGTGAATAACTTTTTTCAGTACAGAACAATTTGAATTTGGTTCACACTGTTCGATAGCCCAGTCCTTCAGCTATAATCGCGTACTTCATTGAAACATAAGGGTATTCACATAAAATCTCTACATGGTGTTTTCCGACACTGTGCAAAATTTCGGAATATTCAAAAGGCTCTCAAATGGTGAAAAAAAATTTTTTCTCAACTTCGACAACAGAGGCATGAAGATGATCTCATCACCTCGAGATATTCTGCGAATCAACTTCCTATCTCTCTTATTTACAGGGTGATCTCAAAAAATCAATTTTTTGGTTTTGCAGCCATAACTTTTTTTTACGTCAACCGATTTTGGAAATCTTAGGCTCATTTTGAAGATAAAACTTCAGATGAAGAGATCTCAATATCAGAATTGACTCAAGATGGCTATCAAAGATCTAGAGTTTTCTTGAAAGTGACCCAAATCTGGAACGCCCTTCGAATCTTGGTTGGGAGGAGAATTGAATGAAAATCAACTTGTTCTCGGAAAAACAATTCATTCTGGATGCGTCCATATTTTCCTCGCTCTCAGTAGTCAAGAATTGTGCGTGAGAAAACACAATTGAAACATGTTCTTGCAAAAACATTAGATCATTTCTACTCTGTAATGCATGGCCCGCCGTAACCAACGTTACAAGAATCACAATGAGTGACTGACAAACCCGACCAGCTGAGACTCATCATAAATGGTGTACCAACAAGAGCAACGGATTTTGATTTTTTCAATGAAGTGATTTTTTTAAGAGTTGTCACGTACATTACATGCGATTTGAGAATATGGAGAAGTATTCAAGCAAACAACGTTTATTTATTGTGACAACGCATTTCAAAAATGGTGAAAGTTTCACGAAAACAGTTTGCCAATTAGGTAAAGTTTTCAGTCGCAATAATGCGTCGAACGAATCGACAGTAATAAACAGAAAATTCGTGTCGGAGATAAGCCCTTTGAATGGATCGGACTGTCGTGTTTAGCAGATCGGCGATTTGGAGGGAAGATAACCCTTGTTCCCTCATTTGTGGAATCAGTTCCAACTGGTCGGTCGTTAGATGCGGCATCGAAACTATCAAAATCTGTTTATGATTCGAAAACGACGGCTAACCTGACTTGTCAGTCACTTACTGTGATTCTTGTAACGTTGGTTACGAGCCATGCATTACAGAGGAGAAATGGTCTGATGTTTTTGCAAGAACATGTTTCAATTGTGTTTTCTCACGCACATTCTTGAGTACTGAGAGCTAGGAAAATATGGACGCATCCAGAATGAATTGTTTTTCCGAGAACAAGTTGATTTCCATTCAATTCTCCTCCCAACCGAGATTCAGAGGGCGTTCCAGATTTGGGTCACTTTCAAGAAAACTCTAGATCTTTGATAGCCATCTTGAGTCAATTCTGATATTCAGATCTCTTCATCTGAAGTGTTATCTTCAAAATGAGCCTAAGATTTCCAAAATCGGTTGACGTGGAAAAAAGTTATGGCTGCAAAACCAAAAAGTTTATTTTTTGAGATCACCCTGTAAATAAGAGAGATAGGAAGTTAATTCGCGAAATATCGCGAGGTAATGAGATCATCTTCATGCCTCTGTTGTCGAAGTTGAGAAAAAAATTTTTTTCACCATTTGAGAGCCTTTTGAATATTCCGAAATTTTGCACAGTGTCGGAAAACACCATGTAGAGATTTTATGTGAATACCCTTATGTTTCAATGAAGTACGAGATTATAGCTGAAGGACTGGGCTATCGAACAGTGTGAACCAAATTCAAATTGTTCCAAACTGAAAAAAGTTATTCACATTATATCAGGGGCGACATTTTGGTGTGCGACGAAATTAGTGTTGAGTAGTTTATATTTATAGAGACACAATCCCAAAAATTTAGATCTTCTTGGCCTATTCGGAGGAGAAGAAAGGATGTCGCCGTCTTGTTGCTCTGATTAATTCTCGTTTCTCGTTCTGGCATAGGTCGCAGAAGTCCGTTATGGAGGCCGCCAGTTTGTCGTACGGTAAAACGGGTATTGGTCAAAACATGGGAATTAACGCAAACAGTTGATAGTCTCTTTTCGATCCGCGTGCACCCAAGATGCTGATTAAAACGATAATATTGGTTATTTCTGGCATCCTTTCATGCGTCATCGCATCACCAGTGCCCAACAAAAAAGTCAGAGACGATTACTCCGATGCGAAAGTCTTGTATGATCAGCGACAAGAAGGTAAATTTATAGTGTACCTATACGAATACGTGCATATTATACCGGGTGCAAGTATACAGGGTGTTTCATAATTGAATGTCAATATTCGAGGAGGCGATCTTTGGGCCCATTCTCAGAAGAAAGTTTTATATGAACGTATGATCTAAACGTCCTAACTTTGAGATACAGGGTGGTAAAATTCTCAAAAATTGATATATAGAAGACCTTAATACAAAAATTGATTGATTTTATGTAAAATAAACAGACTGCGTAGGATTACCATGAAAAATGAATAATATTTCTGTCGTCTACATATTGAAAAATATAATTGAAAATTTGGACTTGCCTGTTTCTTGCACCAAAATATTGAAAAAAATAATATCACTCGAAGAAACTATTTATTATTTATAATAATAGACAGTATTTCATTCTCAAATTATCGACAGATCAGTTTCATGGCGCCCATTCTCCTCAGACGTTTCGGGTGGATCGTCTTCAGGTTGATCTGTCGGCGAATGTCCGAAGATAGTCTTATGAGAATCTTGATAAGCAGCTAGAATATATTTTTGGACTAAACTCTTGCAATCCCTCTCTATTTTATTGCTATAGATATATTATTCTTGTAACAATTGTCTGTTGGCCGAGACAATAACTGACTTTGTGTACCGGTCTTCATAGGAAGAGTTGAATAAATCGTGAGCCCGGCAGAGGCTGAGCATTGAATGAAGCTATTATTTTCAGTATATTTCAAGACTCTGTAACTTGAGATCACAAACTTCTCGATGTTGCAGAGAACTTTACCGCCCTGTATCTCAAAAGTTAGGACGTTTAGGTTATACGTTCATATGAAACTTTCTTCTTAGAATGGCCCAAAAACCGCCTCCCGAAATATTGACATTCAATTATGACACCCTGTTATACAAGGTGTCCCGAAATTACATAGAAAGATTTCAACTAGGTAGCAGTCACCATATTCGAGATAAATCGATTTTAAAAGTCTGCTGCGTAACAAAAATAGTGCTTTTTCCTTATAATAGGGTACAAAATTTTCCCAAAAATTAGTTTTCGATGGAAACTACCCTTTTTTCATTATCTTCTTGTGATGCAAAATATGAGAGGAACAATAAAAGTTATTATACAAGGGAAAAAAGTAGTAGATCTTAGCTCCAGCGGAGGGAGACAAAAAACCGTGAGCTAAAATCTAATATTTTTCCCGTGCACAATAGGTACACAATTTTTTTCTGTGACAGAAGAAAGGACGAAGATATTACATTATTTTGAAATCTGAAAATTATCGATGTGAAATTTTAAGTTTTCAACAGTAGGGACAACTACGTTGTAGGCATCTTTATCATTCTTTTGAAGTAATCAAATATCTGATGTCAATTCTGTCAGTCTAATTCTGTGATTTGGATCAAAAAATTTCGAATTTAGTGGTTGTTTACGTAGCCGCGAAGTTGAATGGAAGTTAAAAGGACTTGCAGTTCTTTCTCGGAGACGCAATTATTGACTCATTTTTCGGAAAAAGTGATTTATGAAAAGTGACATTTAATAACCTGCCAACAGAGATGAAATGTCAAACTTTTTTCCCGTCACAGAAAAAAAGAATAATTTCAAAAATATTATAGTATTTTCCTTATAAAGAAAAAGTACTATTTTTATAACGCAGCAGATTTTTAAGATCGATTTATATTTCCTGGTCAACCTGCCGAAAAGTGCATGAAAAAAAAATTGGGGGAAGATATACCCCTAGCCCCACAGGGCATGTAAAGTAATCATGTTTTTTGACAGTTCATATGTACCAAGGGTATAAAAAATGGTGAATATATATTATTATTATTATTATATATTTCGACTTTATGATGAAAAAAGTTCCTAGTGTGTGTCGTAAAACGATTCCCAGAATCCAAATATGAAAAATATATAGGGTGTGCTATTTAAAACATCAAAAGCCAGCACTGGCCGTTTTTTCTGCAATTTTCTGTATAGTATTCATTTATGCTTCCATAGATACAATTTGTTGTTGAAAATAAAAACATACGTTAGTAAAGTATCTACCTCAATTTCTCTATTACTTCAGGCTCAAAACAAAATACGTTACGACAAGAGTCAGAGAAAAACTATAGTACATATTGCGTGTTGAGAACATATTATTATTAATTGAGAAGGAATATTCTCAGATATAATTATGAACATGAAAAAAATGATATATATACATATATATAAAGAAATACATTGAGAATTCGCATTCTCTATGCTATGCGATGAAAATTTCAATTCATTCTCGATTTATTCAACAGAAAACAACTACTTTCCTGGCTATATGCCACGACGAATATTGAATTATATATCTTTTGAACACACACGATAAGAATTTGAAAACATAATCTTCTGAAGTAGAGAATTTTTTTCCACGTGATGAATATCAATTTATCATACAACAAAAAAAAATATCATTGATTTTACATTCATGGGTAATATGCTTTTTCCAAAACGTATTATACAATTACATTGAAATTTCAAATTGAAAGATATGCCTTACAGATGACTAGATCTCAGACAATTATACAGGGTGTTTCGTTGGGAAACGATAATACGTCAACAGTAGATAAAGATGACTGAGTTTATTCTGTATATATATATATATAGTTAGAAGGAGGGTAGTCGTGACTGACTAGTTAAGGTATATATATATATATATGAAATTAATTCTACCAATACTATGTTCATGATCTATTTTGCTCATTCATTTGTAGGGTCATAACTAACGTACCACCAAGTGTATTTTCTGATATTTAGTACGCATATTTTGAAGAGAGTAATGGTACAATTTGTGATATGTTCAGATCAGATCACCTCGGTATGACTAATATCCCGATAGAACACTCTGTATAGTATTCAGATATGCTCACAACACAATAGAACACTCTATATAGTATTCACAACAGCAAAAAACAAAAATTGACTACTATAAACCAAAATGTGACCACAAAAAAATTTATGATGAATATGGAACGCTTTGAGCTTCAAAAGCAACCATTTGTCGATATTACATCATGAGAATTTCAAATTTGAACCTTCTGAGATGAATTATATTTCAATGGAACGGAGGAATACTGAGAGATCAGTTATACTAGGTCTCTTTTGGCTATTTGATGTGTTTTCGTTGTTTGTAGACATACAAATCGAAAGCCGCCACATGTTAATATTGATGAAACGTTGATGTTTCACTGATTTTTGTATGGCACTCTGTCATATTCCATTTTATATAACATTTTATGTACCTATCTACAGAGATCATTCTGAGTATGCCGGTATAATAATGTTATTTGAACCATAAATAAATCAAATCAATGAGCGAACAATTCCGTATGTATCTCTTCTTAATAAAGTGCTTGAACCTATAGGACCTGCACAAATGTCTTTTTCAAATTCTCGAATCTCTGATAAAATGTCAACCCAAGATTATCTTCATTGATGATAATAACTCTGCTATTACAGTTATTTATAGATATTATTACGCAGTGTATATTCAAATAATAGGTACGTGTTGAAAACTAAATTTTTGATCATCAGTAAATTCAATACGTAAACCGACCGGTTAGTCATTTCAGTTGTCTATCATTTTCTCCTCAGATGTCACTACTTTAGTAAAGGATCTAGTCGTTGATTCAGATGGTTATTTAACGACCTTTTCGATAGTCAGAAGTATTTCAAAATAGCCAAACGGGGTGTTAAACCTTTCTTGTCGATAGAGTTAGAACTATTTCAAAGTAAGGCCTACTAGAAAAGAGCTAAAGAAAATATATTTCAGGAGCATGGAATGTACGAGCCCACTTAGATAACTTCGTTATAATGATCATCCCCACTCAGACAGCAAGTAGTACCAGTAGTAGTCCATCATCCCCCAGTCTCCTAGATTTCCTGACGAAATCCATCCCAACTGGAAGTCACCTGAAGAGGATGAAGCATGCGCAGAAACAGAGGAAGCCCGACGCCGTCCAAGAGACCATGCATTTCATCGAATCCAAAACGGCACCTTACCATGTCGACCTCACCAAGGAAGCAAGCGGAGCAGAAACAGCCGAAAAAGGCGTGGTTGCCAGTTCTCCATCGATAGCCTTGATACAATCGGAGGAGCCAGTGTTGCATCCTAGCAATAGAAGGTCGCGACAGTTGATTTTGACACTTCCTTTGGAAGACGAGTATGTCCTCACGAAATCGAAAAGTAAGCTTACAGGGAAAAAGAGCAAGGAAGCAAAAAAAGAGACACACATGGATGAGCTGACGCTTCTTGGAGCACAGAATGAACAGTGTGGTCCAGGAATGGCTAGAGACTCCTATGGCATATGCAGAACCTACAAGAAATACTAATGAAGATATATGAAGATGTGACACAATGATTGTTTAAAAGGGATGAACCCCGCCAAATAGTTTGTTGATTCCTATACTTGCTATTTTATCTGTTGACTTGGTCATGAGCATTTTAGAAACCAATTATTGACTCAAGTTATTAGGGAAATTGTAACAAATCAGATTCTAAATCTTGAATTGTCCTAGTAGGACAGGAGAACCGTATTGTAGTATCATATTATATGATGGTACCAATAATTATTATTAACTACATATAAAATGCGCTCCCAATAAACCTGTCTCATTTTTATTTATTTATAATTATATTATTTCTCTCATTGAATAAATATACGCCAAATATCCATGGATACAAAAATATGATCATTTCTGACTATAATACATTTTGGTATTTTGTTGCAAAGTGGTTTTTATTGATAAGATCTAAACTGTATTTTTGTTCTCGAAATACTGTAGACATGTGATTGCAATCATCTTATCATGAAAATTAACATAGAACTACGTTGACTGAGAAGTTAAAAATATGCTTAGCTAGGGTCCCTTGATGTAAATTGACGTATTTGTCATCTTAACAGGGTACGGACAGATCCTCGTCTCCTCTCACTCTAAAGTGTTTGTGAAACAGTTATATAGTTCAATCTTCATTTATTTCTGGGGATAAACACTAGATTTCTGACATTTGTTGTTTTTTGAGTTATATTGAGGACATTGGCGTATCTTAGGTAATTTCCACATGTAATTTCTCATTCAACTCTACATATATTATATCCAAATGATGATGATAATTTTCGGGTTTTTGATTTTTCAACTCTAGCATAATCTTTGTGAGGCAGAGCAAATTTTTCTGAAAGTTTAATACTTTCTACCAAATGGGACTGTTCTTAGACAGTACCTATCCATAAATGAATATTGATTTCAGACTAAGCCTTATGCGCTGAGAAATGGTGAAAAATCTTATGTGGGTATTCAAACTAATGTGCTCATTATGTCATGTGTGTTGTATATATTCATTTTGGGAATCATTTTTGCAGTTTTTCACGAACACTTAATATTTCCTGAATAAGGTATTCCTTTTTTAAATTGGTAGGGCATATGCCTCTTCTTTTAGTCCTCCGTTTTAATCAAAACTGTTCTACTGAAATGCATTCAAAAACTTGTGGAGTGGATAATTATAGGCACAATGAGAAAGTATAACATGTGATTTCGTATTAGTTTACCTCGATTATTTTGCTGATGTATTTACCATTTTTCCACATTCGGTCACTTCACTTTCCATGTTCTAAGTTCATTTGCATTTGATGGAAAGCTGGCAAATTCAATTTAATAATAACGTATGGAATTAAAATTTTGTTAGATCTCTTTTAACGCCTATGAATGTGACGGGACAGCAATGTCATGTCAGGGACGCCAATACAAGAAACCAAAGTCACTAGATGATTAAAAGAGAAAGTAGCTATGATCTGTCCGTACCCAGTTAAATGACAAATACGTCAGTTTGCATCTAGGGAACCTATGCTTAGCAATCACAATACTTCAAAGGTCAATTTCAGTACTGCTGACACTGAACAGTCTTTGTAGGTACTTACTATATTCATCTGCCAAAGCAAGCCTGAAAATATATTGGTTGTCATCCCAGAAAAATATTAATTAAATATTTATTGAAACAACTTAAATAATCCCTCAGGTTAATGGTCTGTTACTCTCATCATATTCATCACGACCAAATCTCAACTGTCAAAAATTGTGCATAAATAATTGTTTAATGTCTATTGAAAATGTCTAAGTAGGTACCAAACGGAAAAATCTGTTTATATTTCCACTTCACTTTTGTCAAATATGGACTTCTACCAAGACACAACTAAAAATGTATCATGATCGATAAAAACATTTTTTACGGGGGTAGTTAGTCCCTGAGGTTTCTTACTAATTCCAATCGTTGCTCACAGCAGCAGAAGGAGAAAAAAGTAGTGTTCCTACTTGGTATTTTATTTTCATTTCAATGAAAACAAGCAGAAAATAATAGAAAATATTTTCCGATCCTGCTTCTCAAGACATCAAGATAGGTTAGTGGAAAAAAGATATATTGACTCACCTGATCAGAATCTTGGCACAGTAGGAGCTCTACGCATTCAGGATAATAAGTTTTTCTACTGGGATTGATAGAAACATCAAATCCACTGCTGAACAAACTTGATCGTGGCCATTTTGGACACATCACATCATATATTATATTCAATAATAATGGACTGCCTCGAGTATTATTTCAAGACATGAATGAAGGAACTTCTGAAATACTAACGATTATAACTTTAAACCATTCATACAACTGCATATCAGATGAAACCGATCAAGATCAAGATTTTTTTACTAATTCCATTCATTCTGCTAAGAAAACAACATCGTATAATTTCTCCAAAGAATATTGATGATCAAAATCATTTTGACTCGTCTGAGGTCATGTTTGAAAATGTCAACCTAAAATATTCCTTTGTGACAAATGAGTTCTCGATGTTTACAGTAAACTAGCGCCATTGACAAGAAGCAGACATTATACCTCATGTTCGAGGGAAATCTCTCATATTTTATCAATTCGTTTCACTATCAGAGCCAAATCTTGACATTTTAGAATTGTTGAACTGTATATACTTGTATACTGACACCATTAAAATCGAAACATCTCGAAGAAACAGAAATTAACAATGGGAATATGTTATCACTGTAATTTTGTCATCATTGTTTTTTTTTAGCCGTTTGATCTTAATCTCACAACTTTCATTGTTAGGTACTTATGGGTTTGTTACAAAAAAAAAACAATATCATTAATACATCTTTTAATAATTCTAAACAATAAATTAACAGTCAATTAATGATAAAATAAGTTTCAACTAACTATAATTTTTATTAATTAATCAAACTATAGGATTAAAATAATATATTATAAATATTTTGGATTTGGCAATGATGCTAATGCTCGCATTTCAGTTTATTTTACACATACAGTATCTATTATACAGATCAATATTCAAATATTCTTATTACAGTTTGTGACTCAAGTACCTATACTATGACATTATTGGATTTGATATTCGAGTATTGATTGGGCTGAGTCATCCTTTCCTAGAGTAGCTAGGTACAAAACTTTTCCACCACTAACTCTACAACCTACCATTGCTCACTCCTTTTTGATTCTAGAAGTGGTATTTCACTAGTAAGGTAGCTTTTTTGTTTCACGACGCACTAACCGAAAAAGACGAAGCCACCTAGTATCAATTTGAATTCTGAAGAGACAAGAAACACAATATACTCACCGGAGAGTCAGAAAAAGAAGAAACCCAAAATAAGAAGAAAAATATAATAAAATAACTGTTTGAGATGGAAAACCCCATCATGAATCAATTACCTTAATGAATATTCGGGGCGATTAGTACCTAGTAAAAACTTTTGAACTTAAACTTCTAGATTTCCAACCTACTATCGAAGATCGTACACAAACTGAAGTGAGCTGCAAAAGGTCGTACTATGGAGATTGGAAAGTATTGCTAGTGGTGGAAAATATAGTGTATACCATAGCGTATGAATAACTATAATTTTCAAGTAAGTAAAGGTTCTGTGACAAGTACAGTGTGTTCAGCATTTGCAAACATCAACAATGTGGAAGACATTGCAGAAATCATGACATATGTCATATATGTATATTGTATATGTTTTAAAAAATATTTTTTCGAAATTCAAGAAAAATGTTGTTGGCATTTGATTCAACAGTTGTTGTCCCTACAGATCTGAAAACTTTTATCCAGTGAAATCAATTTCCGGATTATTTTACTTAAAATGACTCAACCTATGTATAAAATTAGTATCAACATTCATTGTTAAAAGAGAATATAAAAAAATATGACCGCATCCATCTCATCCATTTCAGCAAAATTGATAATTATGATTTTTTGTGAAATAGCAAGAGATTGATTCAATAAAAGCCACAGGCACAGTTTTAGTAATTATCATAATTTGATATAATGCACTTCGGTTATAGACACTAATGTGTCTGGTTTTGTCTTCCTAAGAACAAAACCATAGACTGACGGGGTAAAAACACATCATGTACAATAGACGATAATGAAGACAAACGTAACTATAATGATAATGAAGACAAACGTCAGTACCCAATGACAATTCGAATTAGTAGTAAAGCTACAAATAATAAACTTTTTCAAATATTTTGTAAAAAGTTATGGCACTAAAAACTTGTAAAATAGTGACAGCACGAAGTGAAAACCCTCATATTCCATAATAGTATATGCCGTCATTCAAAACAGAAAAAAAACTGTTGCAGTTACACAATGAGGTTGAAGATATTTTGATGAATAACTGTTGAAGTTAGATAAGGGCCAACATATAATAACAAGACGAAATATGTTGTTCTCAAGGCTGATTGGCATGATGCTGCCTCAGATAAATCAAACACAAAACAAATACAATATCATTTGGATTGTTTGTAGGTAGTTTTTATCTTTCAAGAATCGTTCACACATTAATAAATAGAAAAACACCAGCAACTTAGCTACCTTCAAGAGTTCACACGCACACACTCCTCTAAAAATCATTTCTGCTCCTTCAAAATGTACACCATCACAAGACAAAGTCAACTTGTGTTATCGCACTAGCTTTCTTTCAATTCTGATTGGTCTATCAGCGTTGGTGTTTCCAACGCGTAACCAAAGTTCGGCAGTATGACATAAAATGATTATAGCTGTAGTTGTCAGAATGAATCGGTTCGGTTACATGCTTATGCTTCGTGAAATAGTCCAGCAAAATACCATTCTGTTCTGAATATCTTCTCATAATAATTCTGTCTCTCATCACTGAATCAAAAGCAATTATCGTAATATGTGTCGTGCATAATATTGACAATAAGTTTGGAGGAGCAGCAATGATAAACTGAGGTGAAATTAGTTGGCAGATGATCGATCGCTAGTCCATTTTTATGAAATACCCATGTACGAAGTAAAAAAAAAATGAAATAGCGATAGACTGGCGATATGCCATTCATTCATGGCAGTTACAAACAGATAATGATTCCTTGGTGATACTTTAACCTTTTCCTGCATAAGTCGGGTTCTTGAATGTTGAAGTGGCCTGTTTGTATATTGGATTTTCTCCCTAGGACGAATAGTTATTGATATTTTCATGTATAGCACAAATACTTTCTCCAACACTGTTGAAGAAAACAATGTTTCCTTTACTCTGGTCTTTACTCTAGTTTGTAATCATATTATTGTTCTTTTAAAATGGTGAGCACCTAATTGTTTCCGAAATTATATTGCCAGAAAACATTTATTTTTGTATCTAGTGCGCCAAATGCTACTTTGGTGATCGAGAACTGAATTTTTAACGAGGTGCAGCCGAGTTAAAATATATTCGAGATGACCAAAGTATTTCGCGCACAAGTTGCAAACAATTTTTTTTCTACAAACGTAAAAAAATATAGTTCTGAAGTAGTATAAGCTTAGCCTAATATAAAAAATAGTGTTGAACTGGCTTAAACGACCTCAATTATTGTAACAACATTCAGAAATAAATTATTTCTTGGCTGTTTGCTCGATTCAGAACCATGAAGTTTGAATACAAAAATCTCATGTATGTACTTCGCGCATCGTTTTAAAAAAAAAACCTTGTCATTTTTTTACGTTTGTAGAAAAAGGTGTGTTATCTATGAGATAAAGTGAAATTGGTAAAAGAGCATAAAAACTTGACTGATTTTCATAACATGGCTCCAAATTTGAAGTCACTGTTTCAAATCCATATTTTTCTTGAATCAATGGTAGTCAATATGAATATAAAATGAATATATATTCCAAAAAGTACCTCATGATGAATCACCCTTCATAATTGATATAACAAGGAAAAAAAGGTATAAGTTTAATTTGCATGATTCACTGAAATAGATTTCTGCATCTATTGAGGATAAGATGAAAAAATTAGAAATACACCAATAATGCAAGACTGCAGCCGACAAAAAACCTTAATAGGTTGATAATGAAATTTGGTATGAGTAAACAAGAGGAAAAAGGATTTCTAATAAAATAGAACGCATAACTATGAACAAATAATATCCATATCAACAAATCAGGAGATATTACAAATAGCATATTAACAATTTGCATCATGAAACAAAAACGGATATGTAGACATATTATTTAGTGTAGATGGTAAATTTTCTGAGTGATCCAATAGTTCTAAACTGGCAGCTTAATGTTTTCATCAACTTGACAAACCTTTGAAACGTTCATGTTCTGTCTGATCCTGCTTTTTCATTACTTTTTTTACGGTCCAATTGGCCTATCTGAGGATGCGGGACTCTGGGAGTTGGGCTATCGGAGGAGCAGTGACAGGTCACGCGGAAATTGCGACATGGGTGGAGCAGGAGATCCCTATCTCCACCGTAAGAGTAAAGAACGCTCAAAATAGGCTGAGATGGAATAGAAGGTTCACCCTTACTATTCCAAGCAGGGAACAATGGGAAGAGAACAGAGTGGAATTCCGCCCAGGGAGTTTAGTATGTTATACGGACGGATCGCGCCTAACTGACAAACAGGACTCAGGTGCAGGAATTCATCAAGAAGGAATAGGCATAAGGGAGAGCTACGCTCTTGGAAAGTACCACAGTTTCCCAGGCTGAGGTCTTTGCCATTCTGACAGTAGCGGAGAGGCAAGATGTGAAAGAGGGACCAGAGCAGAAGATTTACATCTGCTCGGATAGTCAGGCGGCTCTCAGGGCTATCTGCCATCCTAAACCAAGCTCAGCTTTGATGCAGGAATGTGGCGATGCTCTTGAGAAACTAGCTGAACAGAAGGAAGTCGAACTAGTATGGGTTCCGGGTCACAGGAGGGTGTCCGGGAACGAGGTGGCCGACGAGCTGGCTAGAATCGGATCCGCGACACCGTTCTGGGGACCGGAGCCTGCACTGGGCATAACAAGAAGCCTTCGTCTGCCCTTAACAAATGGGCGGACGAGGCACTAGAAGGATATTGGAGGCGTATAGGCGGCTGCAAGCAATCGAGAGACCTGGTGGCCAGTCCAAGCAAGCCAACGACGGCTTGGTTACTGGGCAGGGATCGCCAAGTCCTGTGCCTTCTTATAGGGGTACTGACAGGGCACAACAGGTTACGCAGACACCTATCACTCATAGGTGTGGAAGATAGTCCCACTTGCCGTGAATGCGGAGAAGATGAGGAGACATCACTTCACTTCTTCGGAGAGTGTGAGGCGTATGAAAGGATGAGATTCGAAATCTTTGGAGTAGATGAACTACAACAGGAAGATTTGGTCGAATCAGAGTGGACGGACATCCTGACCTTCATCAGAAAGACGGGAAGGTTGAGATTCGAAATCTTTGGAGTAGATAAACTACAACAGGAAGATTTGGTCGAATCAGAGTGGACGGACATCCTGACCTTCATCAGAAGGACGGGAAGGTTCGAAAAGGACAACTAAAAGAGGGATGTGTAGATATGTGGAGAGCAGGGGTTGGCAAAAAGGGCCCATGGGGACCTACTTGCCTGGCTACAGCCTCCCCACAATACTACTACTACTACTACTACTACTACGGTCCAATTGTTACTGCTTATCCCAATGAGTATTCGTATCCTCAATGATACAAAAACGTCAAATCCATAAAGGTACCCATAAGCACCTACCATAAATGGGAATCTCCGTGGTTTGACAGCCGTCTCTTACGTGGGTATGTTAATAATTCAATAACCAGGCAGCTCCAATTTAAAATTGTTTGGAGAATCGAAAAAACTTAAAAAATTAAAATTTTGTTTAGTTTTTTTTATATGTGAGCCACTTCAATTGCATCTTTTCCGTTGAGGGAAACATGTTCATTCATAATTCATTTGCGCAACAATTTTTTATTTAATCCACTTTGTATTTCCCAAGGTTCATGGAATACCTGCAGATTCTTGCATGGGATAGATCTTTCTTCAACAGTGTTGGAATTACACATAGGAAAATAAGATAAGAACGATGATTCGAACGAAGTAAAAACTGTACTCACTGTATCCCATTTCGCCATCATTTTTTCTTTCTCAAACCTTGCAAATTCTCTGCGATCGTGGATGGTTGTGAGTAGTTTCCAAAGAAGTAAAATAGCCATGCCAATGAGCACAATAGCAGCTATCACTCCCAACACGATACCTGGCACGTAAACCTACAAAAATATCAACTGAGAATGCAAACATATCTGGAACTGTCTATGGATGTAAGACAAATTGATCATTATCATACAGGACGTGGAAATAAATTCTGAATTGAAAAAACCAAATCACGAATCTGCGATTAGATGTCTATAAAAATAACAGGTTTCCGTCCTTTATGTTTGAACCCCTTGATTAGGTGAAAGTATTGAAAAGGAACATTCTCAGATAAAATCATGAACATAAAAAATGAATATATGTACACGGTGTTTTTAAAATAAGTGCACATATTCAGCACATTAATATGATATAGCCTAAGGAATATTCTCATGATATCAGATTTTTTCTAATTCTTCTAATTAACGAGAAATTTCGTCCCAAAAATTGAACAAAATGCGAGAAAAAAATCAAGTACGCCACTTTAAAACAATTTAAATGATTGAACTCCGCGTGGTTTTGCCTACCGCATGGAAATTTGAACTGAGGTGACGTCAGATTTGCTATAGTATAGAACTTTGGGTGGAAAAAGGGGTCAAACTCAGTGATTGAATAATTTGCACTCATTTCAATGCCATCCTGTTTTTTTTAATTGACTCGGCCGTTACTCGATGGAAATCCATGGCAAATGTAAAAACTTCACAAACGATAAGATTTCCACAAAATTCTTATACACACAACATGTTTCGCTAACACAGTAGCTTCGTCAGGTGATATACTGGTACAATGGATTGTTGTGTAAGTACTTTTACCTACGGAGATTGTACCAGTATATAATAATAATAATAATAATAATAATGAAGCGTCTTTATTCACAATGAGGAAACAATAAATGATTACATATAAATTTTGTGAGTCGAAGTGGGATCAAAGTGAAAGGGCGGAGTGTCAGCTTACGCTGTTTTTAAACTCAACCTTGAAAATACATTTACAATAACCAAAATTAATTAAGAGAAATACAAAAAGGAGTCTTAGACTATCATGTTTTTGAGAAACAAAATTTTGTATACAAATTAAGCCAACCTATACTATATATAAAGAACCATAGTCGCATATCATGATGAGTGGGCCATATACCGCATAAGAGGAGAACTAGGCATGAAGAAGCGACTTCAGCCTTTTTTTTTTGAAGTTTTTGATCGTGAACGATCTATATTCACTGGGAAGCGAGTTGTATAGTTTCGGAGCTATATAAGAGAAACTACGTGTAAAAATTGTTGACTTGTGCTTGGGAATGACTAAGACTGATCTGTTGCGTGTTGCGAACCTATTTATATTCGAAAAAGTTTTAAGTTTGCTCGATAGATACACAGGCTTTCCTGTGATTAAAACTTTATGAGTGTTTGTTAGCAGGTGTAATCTTCTGAGCTCTTCTAGTCTCAGCCAGCCTGATTTTCTCATAGAAGATGATATGTGGTCAAATTTGCGGACCCCAAAGGAAAAGCGTAAGCAGCTATTTTGGATGCGTTGTAAGCGCATAGAATCAGACTGCCTTGAGGCAGGTCCGTAGATACTGTCACAGTAAGAGACTTTAGAAAATATTAATGATTCACATAGTTTGAGCTTGAGGTTCGTGGTGAGTAAGTCGCGATTTGGAAACAATTGCCTGAGACCGTTGTAAGAGGATTTAATCAGAGAGTTTACGTGCCTAGTGAAGCGAAGATCCGAATCGAGCCACAGTCCTAGATTCTTAGTCTCTGAGACGAAAGGTAGGATGTCATCACCAATGCGAATTTGAAGGGCATTCTGAATGTCTATTCTATCTTTTTTTGATCCGAATATCATTACAGTAGATTTCTTTGAGTTAAGTTGTAACTTATGGGCGAAAGAAATGTCGTAAATAGTGTTTAAATCATTATTGATGAGTATTTCCGCAGTGTCTTTATTGAGGAATGGGAAGGAGAAGTAAAGCTGGGTGTCGTCTGCGTAATGATGTATGTTGCATTTTTCTACTTATAAATGGAAATCACTTATACATAAGCAGAAAAACAAGGGACCGAGTATGGAACCTTGTGGAACACCTTTCACCTGACGAACCTACTGTGTTAGCGAAACATGTTGTGTGTATAAGAATTTTGTGGAAATCTTATCGTTTGTGAAGTTTTTACTTTTGCCATCCTGTTCATATATATAAAGAAATACATTGAGAATTCGCATTCTCTATGTGATGAAAATATGAATTCTTTCTCGGTTTATTAGACAGAAAACGTTAACTTTCCTGTTTATATGCCACAACGAACATTGAATTATATCTATTGAACTCTTGATAAGAATTTGGAATCAAAATCTTCTACAGTGATTCACACGTATAAAAACTTTTAATCATACATAAATAATTTCATTGTGGCCTAGTTCGACAGGTCATTAGATCGCCTAATTAATATTGTTGTGTAAGTACTTTTACCTACGGAGACTATAGAAAGTAGGCAAGAACACATGAGATACAGCCTCAGGAAGTAGCTCTTTACGCACAGTCAGCACATCGTACAGTTTTCGTTTATTCCGCCAGTATAGGTCTGTCATGATCGCGTAATCGCCGATGCGATCGAACAGCGGATGACATAACTGTCAAGAATTTTAATTCAGACTGTTTGTCAAAACTTTCTTGATGTACTATATGGCAGTAGGTCAAGTATAGTACGTAATGCGTGTTGTAAAGTAATTAAGCACTCATGGAATTACTTTTCCATTAACCAGTATTGTAATATATGATCGAATTTGCTGGTAAGTTTTGGATTGTGGCTGACACAAAATCATGCTCATTAGTCTGATTAAGCAGGTCTATTCATGAAACCCGATTTATTGAAGAAAATAAGGCAATAATATGATTGTGAAGTTGAAGAATTGGAATATTTAGTTATCTAGCAGTTGAATAGGTGGTGGAAAAATTCCACTCAAGTATGTCAGGTAGTGCCATCTGTCAGCAGAGTGGTTTACTTGTAGTACCACTCTGTAGCCTATAGACGTAGGGGTCTGTACGTGTGACTATAGATGGCAGCGTCATACAGTGTGTGTCGCGATTTCTGTATCCTACCTTAGAGCTTTGCCACTAGATGGCTACAACATGACTATAACTTCATGTTATACCCTGCGTCTTCGAAATGGGTGATATACCCGAAGCATAGAGTTGTTCCAGTTGTCAGTAGACCGAGAGCGGCTGATGAAACCTGGTGGGTCGAAACAGTACTGTCTCGCTCCTGCTGACATTTGGAGCAACTCTGTTCATCCTGGATCTCTTAGTTATGAGATCGAGCAGTTGAATAGGTGGTGGAAAAATTCCACTCAAGTATGTCAGGAAGTGCCATCTGTCAGCAGAGTGGTTTACTTGTAGTACCACTCTGTAGCGTATAGAAGTAGGGGTCTGTACGTGTGACTATAGATGGCAGCGCCATACAGTGTGTGTCGCGATTTCTGTATCCTACCTTAGAGCTTTGCCACTAGATGGCTACAAAATGACTATAACTTCATGTTATACCCTGCATTTAGTTGATTGCTAATTTACATTAAGGTAGGTCAATATGAATAGAATTTGTAGTAAGTTGACATATTCCTTCATCAACTCAATCCATTCAAATTCAAAATCTGCCAACCCTTTTGAATAGCAGTGTCGCTGATTTCTGTTGATATCAAAATGATTCATCTGTGAACAACATTAGTCACACTGATGAATCACACATGACACGTTCAATGAGAAGTTGCCAACCATTTCACATATTTCTAAAATGGCTTATCGCGCAGTTTTATTTCAAATTGAAATCAATACATAATAGTGTAAAAATACGTAATACCCACCTTATCGGGACACTCTCTTTCTTGCTGGGCTCTAATTTGAATTTTGTTCTCGTTGTCGAAATAGTAGACATACGTGAATCTGCACTCGTCCTCGTCATAATACGCGCATAGAACTTCAGTTTCTTCATTGGCTGAAATAATCGAAGCTCATTTGATTCGAATGAACATAATTTTCGATGGAAAGCCTTACCTGTCACTTCCTCAACCGGTATGGGAACAAACTTCGTACAATTCGCGCGACAGTCTTCGGGTTTTTTCCAAGGTCCAGTCTTGTACTGCTGACATTGGACGCAGTCTCTGTATTCGATGCATTTGTCGGAGCAAGTCTGAAAGGAACCTTAACTCATTTTACTTGGTTCTTTGGGATTTTCTCTCCTCGTTTCTATAAAATAAAAGTATTCGTATTATTTCAATATATTTGTAGAGGGACAAATCAGATGATTTGCCCCAAAATGTCACTGCGTTTAACAAATTTTTCTATCAGGGAGTCTAAAAGAAAAATCCAGTAGCTTGTCAGTGACAATTTGTTTGAAAAAATTTTTTAAGGAAAGAAATATAGATATATTGAAAAAATATCGAATTTGTACTTATCTTTGGACGTTTCGGGACCGATTCTGCTCCCGTTCTCAACATGTAAATGCAAATTATTTTTCTTTGAAATTTTTGCTGCGTATAGTTTGACACTTTTCAATGTCATACTGATGTTGGCATATGAATGAGTGATTTTAGTCTACAAATGAGTTACAGGATGTTTTCATTAATTGATCTTGAATCTACCATTTTCATGTTCAGTTTTCAGTAGTGAATACCATGTTCTATCAATATCAACTGAATAATATCAAAATCATAGGAAAGGAAGATAACAAACAAAAAAGAAAAATAAAGGAATCCGCTTGCATTCTTCTAAACGGAGACAATAGCATTGCTTCCTGTTCAGTTGATATTGATAGAACATGGTATTCACTACTGAAAACTGAACATGAAAATGGTAGATTCAAGATCAATTAATGAAAACATCCTGTAACTCATTTGTAGACTAAAATCACTCATTCATATGCCAACATCAGTATGACATTGAAAAGTGTCAAACTATACGCAGCAAAAATTTCAAAGAAAAATAATTTGCATTTACATGTTGAGAACGGGAGCAGAATCGGTCCCGAAACGTCCAAAGATAAGTACAAATTCGATATTTTTCAATATATCTATATTTCTTTCCTTCAAAAATTTTTTCAAACAAATTGTCACTGACAAGCTACTGGATTTTTCTTTTAGACTCCCTGATAGAAAAATTTGTTAAACGCAGTGACATTTTGGGGCAAATCATCTGATTTGTCCCTCTACAAATATATTGAAATAATACGAATACTTTTATTTTATAGAAACGAGGAGAGAAAATCCCAAAGAACCAAGTAAAATGAATGTACCACCTCCTCGATTAACCTACAGACAGTATTTAACCTCAACTCAATGGACGACCATCGACTACCAAAGGTATGTTTTTTGAGACTGCTCAGGTTCAATAACATTGATCCTAAATACAACTGGGTGTTGCAGGTCAAACAATTCTTCTCTTTTGTCGAAATAGTCGATCATTGGCAACAGTTTCTGCACAATAGTTCCAAGAAAGCTATAATTCCTTTTCTACATAATTATATTCAACAATAAACTTTTAAGCATTGATTTGGAGAGTTTGGGCCAATCATCCTATCCTTCCATTTATAAAAGTTTCTCTTTACGGGAAAATGTTCAAAATTACCTCAAAGCGCGCGTCCCCATATATCTAACTAGAATTATCGCTCAACTAAGAACATGCAGTAAGTCTTCCCTTAGAATTACCTTCGAATGTCCAGTTTATATTATTTCAAGACATTGAGTCTCTAGATGATTTAATATATCTTCTTAACTATGGTGGCCTAGCTGACTTGAAACTTCTAGAACGGTTCTGATCAATTTGTTGAAGCTTAGATATTTTGTTGTGAATGAGTAATTTCCATATCAATTATTATTTCATTGTTAGATTGAATCAAGGTCACGCAGGAAGTAATTTCGTTTTTGTTTTAGCTAATAATTCTCATGTATTCATTCATTTAAGATTACCCAAACCTTGTAATAAGACTCATAGATATTTTTATACATTAAATCAATATATGTATATCTATCGATCTATCTTTCTATTTCATTCACTTATCCCTGGTCGGCATTTAGGATTGTGGGCGCAAACTTATAAATGATTCATGAATGCATTGTGGGTGTCTATGTATTGTTATTTAGTCTGAGCTTGAACCTTCAACCCATCACTTACCGGACACTTCTCGCAGAACTTGCCAGAGTACCTTCCTTCCTCCGTCGTCTCGCACTTGCAAGCGCCGCACTCGCACTTGCCGTGCCCCGAACAGACGGCGCCATCTATCACGCCGGGCGCGAAACAAGTCGCGTTCGACTTTCGGCAGCCGCAATTCGAGCCCGTCCACTCGTCCTTGCAGTGACAGACGCCGCAATCGCAGGTGCCGTGATCGGCGCCGCTGCACAGCTTGCCGTCGTGTCGCTCGCACGAGAAGTTGTCGCATTCGCAGTATCTGCCGTAGATTCGCTGCGGGAAGAAAAGAACGAATGCACTTAGGAAGTAGAACGTCGTTTCAAATTAGGACAATAATAATGTTGCCAGGGTAGCAACCGGGTGGGACCAATTCCCATCCCCTCTCACAAGACTCCCATAACTGCCGGTCAACTATCTTTCGACTTATACCGGCAGCTCACCCCAGAGAGAAATGGAAGATTTGGATACGCCCATGGTGGAAATATATACAGGGTGTAAATTTGAAAACTTTCAATGCGAATATCTCGCGAGATAAAAAAGTTAAAAAAACGCCGCTTGGCAAAAATGCTAAAGAGTTAAGGGGAACTAGAACCACCATATTTCAGTGAAGGGATGAGTCACCCTGTCAGCGCAACACACCCCAACTTTGAAATGTCAAATGGCACTACCTCTTTTGTGATACCTCAAATGAACGGTCTCAGTCAGTAGTATTCACCTGTACAAGATTTATTTTCCACCCACTACTGGGTGAACGGAAAACATTAAGTCGAATAAAATAAAATGCAGAATGCCGATATATTCCAAGAGATGTGTTCCAAAATGTTAGAATGGCATTTGAACATCGATTATACTATTGCTGACAACAGAATGGAATGCAATTCGAACATCTGATCAAATAAAATATCCTTTTAACACAATTCATTTTATTTTATTCGACTTTATATTTTTCGTACACCCTGTAATGGGTGAAAAAAAGTCTTGTACAGGTGAATAATACTGACTGGGACTGTTCATTTGAGGGCATCACAAAAAAGGTAGTGCCATTTGACATTTCAAAGTTGGGGTGTGTCGCGCCGACGGGGTGACTCATCCCTTGACCGAAATATGGTGGTTCTAGTTCCTCTTAACTCTTTAGCATTTTTGCCAAACGGCGTTTTTCTTTCGCGAGATATTCGCATTGAAAGTTTTCAAATTTACACCCTGTATGGTGATTATGGTGTGCTACTCAGGTATCTTGAATTCGTGTTTTCTGTGCATAACGTCATTGCGAGTCTATACTCGCATCAAAATGATCACGGCGACTCGGGCGAACTGATAACTGTGAGCTCAGACTGCTAGCAATTGTTTTACTCGCAGTGACGTATTCGAAGATGCGTGGTAGCACACCATTCTAATTCCATCATGGATATACGCCAAATCAGGACGTTAGAGCCATCTCCGTTATGTAACGGCATGTTCTCCTGCTACCATTTTATGATACCAATGGTGAGGCCGTCTGATAAAACAGACTACTGGCTCTGCACTGTCAGTGCCTGAGCAGAAACGCTGCTCACCCGCCGAGGCAGGCAAGATATCCTCCCACTTGACCCATAGTGGGATTCTTCTTCACCCCCTCTACCGTAGTTCGGTGGTGTTTTTTGGAAACCGCTGCCCCCTGGAGTCCAACCCAATGGTGTACGATCTGATGGGGCTATCCTCATCACCCCAGGTACCCATGTTAGCAAGATTCTTTGTGTTACGTTTGAATTTGCTATTATCGTTGCAGTGGAGCACCATTCATGAAGTAGGTACCTAGTGAGAGTTTTGCAGGTTTTCAATATATCTGTGGTGCTATAAAAAATCTTCCAAGATGCTAGAAGTAATCTTGCTGAGGTTGGGCCATTGATGAAATCTACTATAAAACCTCAGGAGCTGTTTTGAAGGGTAATTTCAAATTTGCAAACATTATTCTACACATGGCAAAATTGGAATTTTTGTGAGTTTGCGCCAGTAGACAGATTAGCACATTGCTTTTGGTCAGTTTTTGTGCTGAGATTGTCCATTACCATTGCAAATATATCAGATTCCTCCTAATTCATCGATTGTTGAAATGATTGGATGATTTTGATATCCTACAGAATGTCACAGGTTTGATGAAAGGCTTCTTTGTAGCTGTATTACTATCCGTGAGACAGTATTATGATTCGACAATGATATTTGATATTTTCTGTGATAACTTCGAGAATCAACACAATTAACTGAATTAACACGATTAAATATCAGGACTGAAATGTATGCAAAATACACAAAATATGTGAACAAAGTGCCCTGATAACGCCAACATCTTGTTTTTGATACAGCGCCCTCAACGGTCGATCATCTTGCCTATTGGAAATATGGGTTAAAACTTCTGACAAAAAATGTGTCTACACTGAGGAAAATGGCACGATTGAAGTTCTTGCTGGGATATTTCTTGCTACCGCTGTAATGAACGCGGGGAATCCAAAATTTATTATCACGAGAACGAATGCACTTAGGTAGTAGAAGGTCGTTTCGAATAAGGACAGTAAACATTTTGGGTATATAAACTTGAAATATCTATTTTCAGAGCCGACCTACCTCGTTATCGTTCGCTCTGGTCTCGCAATCGCACCGGCCGCACACACATTGGCCCTTGCCGGAGCACTCCAGACCCGAGGGGCTGCCGGGCGGGACGCAGTCCATCGTCGTGACGTTCCGCGATATTTCGTCCGAGGTGCACTCGCAATGGCGGCCGAACGCTCCCGCGTAGCAATCGCAGACGCCGCACTTGTACGTGCCGTGGTGAGAACAGGCCGGAGCACTTTCCATGTAGAACTACAAAACAATCAATCAACAATTATCATCCGGCAACGTGGAGTTAATAAAAAACTAGTTGGTAAATTTACTTGCAGACAGTTGAAGAATATAGATTCCCGTGACTCTGATCGAGGCAAACTGCCTATGCCAATAATTATCGGTGTTCAGGCAATGAACGGGTTGCAGAGGACATAGAAGAGGACAGAATTTTTGACTTCATGGATTTGCTTGGAGTAGTACTCAGTACCCTAGTACTGGACTTACGAGGTGAGAGAAGTGCAACAATTTTTATTTGAATTGACTCGGCCGTCCATGGCAAATGTAAAAACTTCACAAACGATAAGATCTCGTACCAATCACGTATATCACCAGACGAAGCTACTGTGTTAGCGAAAAATGTTGTGTGTTCAAGAATTTTGTGGAAATCTTTTCTTTACATTTACAAAACAATCAATCAACAATCATTATCAGGTTGGTAAATCTACTTGAAGACAGTTGAAGAATATGGATTCTCGTAACTCTGATCAAGGCAAACTTCCTATGCCTATAATCATCAGTGTTCAGGCAATGAAAGGGTTGTGGAGGACGTAGAAGGAAACAGAATTTGTGACTTCATGGATTTGCGTGGAGTAGTAAAGAAGTGAAAATTCCCGGACTTACAGGGTGGGACAAGTGCAGGATGTAATGTGAAAGATCATTTTTTTGATTTACCGTTCATATCTCAGAAACGGTTCGTCACAGCAAAATCAATCTATACAAAATTGTAGCTGATGAAAATGTCTATGAAATTGTATCAGAAGATTCTGTCCCTATATTTCATACTTTTCAATCATGTAATTTTTCGAAAATCAATTTTTATCTATAGTATTTTGACGACTCAACCTTCAATTTCTCACCGAAGTCTTCGACGTCTGGCAAATCGAAACCATACAGCGGCATCACCCTCTAATAATTCCGACCATGAATCAAACATTTGCTTTTTTGAAATTGTTCTTGAAACTCGGTTCTCCTCTAATTTTACAATAAAATCGGTAACACTAGAAGTACCATTGAATCTCAACCGCTAGCGTCTGACATCTTCGAATTTAGAAGCGAAAAATTTGTATGGGTCCATGAAATTTGGATAATTCATTTTAGATTGACTTGGACAAAAAATTGGATTGTAGTAATGATTGTACTGTGGGGGTTGTAGTGAAGGGTTAAGTCCTTGCGCGGTATTAGCAAAAGAGGGTTGATGTGTCGTAGTGGCACACTGAGTGTTGAAGTCTGGAAAAATTACCTTCTGGCAACGGTGGCTGTGGTTTATTCATCGACAAATTCGAATTCCGATACTAACCCAACTTACATTCTTCAATTTTTCCGCTCTAAATGATCGGAAACGATTGTGGCATTCTTCGATTTTGGTTCACAATGAGGCTTAGTAGCGAGGTTTGTTGAAGGAACTCGATTAAGTCCTCGTTATCATCCGTTGGTTCCGCAATGTTTGTTGGGTCCGGCTCCGAATCGGAGATTGATGAATGATGTAATAAGCAATTTGGTGCATCAATCAGTGAAACATTTTCCAACTGGATCGGCTGTTCAAACATTTCAGACTTATTTGCATGGCTTGTCTTAACATCAACACAGTGGCATAAGCTTCTTCTAAAGCGTAATATGCCTCCTCAACTACTGATAACAATTTATTTTTCTCACAATCAAGCTCTTCAGTTTCTAACGTAATTATTGACAAACGATTATTATTGTGGCTAAGTCGAGTTCCAATACGTTATATTCGTTTTCGAAGTGTTGGACATCAATGTCTTGAATATTTCCCATTATCTCTTCTAGTTTATAACTACAAACTGTATTCTAGTTATTAGGATCACATCGCATCGAGGCTTACATAACCTTCAAGTTCACGAATCAAAGCCTGTCTCAACAAACAACGTTTGTCTTGCACAATATCATTACCTAAACCAGCATCACAGATTAATAACTTCAAAATGTTGAATCGCACATGCATTTTTTCAATATTTATGCATCGAATGGATGGTTCCGTGGTTGTAAGCGAGCAGTGTATATTACTGAAGATGGCTCCACTTGGTCAAAGTGTTTATTTTCGGGATATCTCCCGCTCCTGCAAATTTCAGAATCCTATCACAACAATTAAGCAAGATACTACAAGGGTGCTTCCATTAAAACATACTGTATACTGGGTGACACAGACTTATGGTACACCAATCTTTTCCCCTATGATTTTTTAGCTATATTTCTGAAATTTGGAACATCGAATATTCTCAATAGAGGGCATTTTTTCACATTTTAGGATTTTTTTTGGCTTCCGGTTTCCCTAGAAATGACATCAACTTTCTATTTTCAAATGGAACACCCTATATTTTATACCATAATCGGTTAGGGATTATTGTAACGAATTCAACGATACCGGGTTTGATTGGGATATTTCAAACGATTAAGAAGATATTCCCGTTTGAAGTTTCCATATGCTCAATAGATTTGACGGCGCAATATTGAAACGTCTTTCTCTGTCACACTCATTAAGCTTTCTATCTCAATTTCAAACAGATCCCTAGTGTCAAAAATTCTGTCCTCTTCCATGTCCTCTAAAATTTCCCTAGGTAGGTGTTCATTGACTGAAGTACTTGCGTATTACGAATTTTTTTTAACAAAATTGTTGACGATTGACTAGTCTCATATAACCGTCTGAAAAACATGAAACTGATATTGCAGTTGTTCTTTGATAAACACTTTCCAATTTTCGAAGAACATGATTTGAGCGAAATTGTACAGTCGTCTTCAGAGATCATGTCGCACATGGACGGTGTCAGCTCCCTTGATCACCGCTGCAATAAGAGCACTCATACCGTCCAACCGCGACATGTTCGTTGAAGACGACTGTACATGCTGTGTATTCAGTCGGAAAATTAAGAAAATCAATATTATATCATGTTCAATAGTTTGTACCTCAAAAAAATATTTTAAACATTTCAATTATTTTTGAGACACCATATCTTAATTTGAGGAAAAATGATCTAGAAAAAACACTAAAATATACAGAGTATTCCATTCAAGAAAATATAGTTCAGAAGGAACCTTGATACTTTTACATTAAATTTTGTTCACACTCTTGTATATAAGGTTCAAAATATGGAGAAACACATCAAAATTGGAGCCATTTCAATTACGGTGGTCAGGATATTGAATTTTACAATTGAAAAATTGTTATCGATCTTCTGTTTCACTGTGAAATTGAGGAAAAAATAATTTTTCAACGAATAGAACATGGTATTCGGTCCTAAAGTTTGATGATGTAGAAAGAAGCTACAGAATCCAGGTAAGATCAAACAAAACCATTTTTGATTTCAATAGCTTGGGCATACCTTGTCACCAGGTTTTTCGCAATTACATTCACACAACATTTCCAAGTCTATAACCAAACTTTCATTGATACCAATAGGGTAGATCTGTATAGTTTGCTTGTAGTCTGCACGATTCTTTGGACACTTCAAAACTTCAATGTCGATTTTGAAATTAATGATATCTCCGACCTGGAAGAAAATAATTCGTTAACAAATCTGACATTCTTGAGATAAAGACGAAAGTAAACTGATTTAGCCATTCCAATTAAAACCTGTTTCACAATCACTTCTTTCACGTCTACTTTGACATGAATCTAAGTTCATAATGGATCTAATCACAGATAATAATGGAGGAAAAGAAGAAATAAAGCCCAAAATCATCTCCACAATAATTCAATAGTAGTTTTACAATAGAATGCAACTTTTAGACATAATCACTCACATAGATTTTTTCAAAGTCACATGATGAACATTACTGCAGTAATAGTAATTGTCAACAATTTATCATATCATCAAGGGTTAGATATAAGATATTGTGATGCTGGCTACAAAGGTGTCATGTGTCAAATGTGAATAAAATCGGCGTTACTGTCCAAATCATTATAGTTTTTAGGATCAAAAACTGTTGAATTGTTATTTATTGAAAATGAGATCACAATAACAACTGATTGGACCATTCCTTTTTCAAACTAATTATAAATGATATTGACAAAAGCCAACGCATTTGAAAAATTACATTCAATTTGACAGAAACTGTTGCCAACAAATAGCACAAAATGTCTAATCCTCTTCAAATGAAATATGGTCAACCATATAGATTTGTGTTCAATTTTCATATATTATGATTCTGTCGATAATTCATTGGTACTACCATTTCAAGGCCATTTGAATAAACCAATCAAATCCTATTGTTTTTGACCTCGTACTGGTATGATTTTTCACTCGTGAAGCATTCTTGTATAGCAATCAGTAGAGTTTAGTCTGAGGTTTTACATCTGACCTTTTGTCGCTTGACATCTGTCTTACGTTGAAGTCTCAATTGTTTGATTGATGACTTTTGTTCATATTTCTTATCATCGACATAAATAACTAGATCGCTAATGTCATATAATCAAAGTTCATTCATTTACGAAAACGAACTTTGTCCCATGGAGCGTGCGCATTCAGGACCTGTCATATATCTTACTCACTCTTACTTATGTTTCCGTACACCAAGACACAATCATGACTAAATGTCATGGACGACAATAGAGCACCCGTCCTTTTCATCAGCTGATCAGGAGACAAATAGAGATTTATGTGAATTTTTATTTTATTCTTTCTGACCCATTGGTGGTTTTGTTGAACTTGTATATATTATACGACTTATACGAGAAGATGTGAGGGATATTACGAGGTATATTAGGTTTTTTTTATTGACTCGGCCGTTACTTGATGGGAATCCATGGCGAATGAAAAAACTTCACAAACGATAAGATTTCCACAAAATTCTCAAACACACGTCATGTTTCCCTAACACAGTAGCTTCGTCAGGTTAGGTGATATACTGGTACGTTGAACTAAACTAACGATCAATGGGACTTCAATAGTTCACCACTGTTGAATTTGTTTTCTTAGTAGGTAATAACATGTATTTGCAATCAACCCTTTCCAGGTAATCTGGTACACCGTAATTTAATGTAGATATTGTGCCTATTTTTCGAAAATTAAGGTTTATCGAACCTGTCCACAGGTAACTAATCCTTCAGGTTGGGAAAGTAGGATATATAAGCAAGCCAAGGTTGGTTTAGTTCATCGTACCAGTACATCACCTGACGAAGCTACTGTGTTAGTGAAATGTCGTGTGTTTGAGGATTTTGTGGAAATCTTATCGTTTGTGATGTTTTTACATTTATATTAGGTAAATTAGAGCCGAACTTCACGCGAATCCAGCACTTTCATATTGGCCAATAAACCTATTTGAACTCTTTATTGAAATCATTCACTTTCTTACAGTATACAACATGAATGAATGAACAAACATGAAAATAAATAAATGCTCCAGAAGTTGAATTATAGAGGGAAATGTGCAAGAAAGTTACATGTACCCTAACAGAGAATGTTTATGCTTGTCGAACCATCAGCTGTTCAATGGCCGACAATGTTATGTCATAGGACGTCTCTGACAGTGCCCTATTTGGGAGTTCCTGGGCAATGAGCAGAAGCGTTTTTAGGATAGCAATTGGACCGACATTTTGGGGTTACTAGCATGTCATATATAGCTGATAGTAGTTATGTCTTTGTTTTTTACACCTACCTTTGCTTGTTCTCACACAAAATAGCGAATTAACTACGTTGTCTGTGTTTTTTTTTGGGTTCATTTATTGACTCACCGTATAGGGCATGTGTCCTACAATAAAAACATCACTATTGCTTCAATATGCACTTCAATAATTATTGTTGTATTCAAATTTAATCCTCATGTGAGGAAGTTGTGAAAGAAATCTTCTTGTTCTTTGATTGCTTTCAATTGTAGGACTTCTAAATTTTACAAAGACAGAACTATAAAATTGTCGTGGGAAACGATTTTGGAATTTATTTCTTACTTCAATCATAGCACTCCATTTTGAGCAACAATGGGCTCCTACCACCATTCAATATTAAAGCGTCGTGTGATTATAGTTTTGTATCTAACAAATCAAGAGGCCATTTTCATGATAAGTTTGATGATACAATAAATATTTGTAGAATCATTGAATATGTGAGCTCCATAGCTTGATTTCATCATTATTGAGAATTTCCAGTCTGAATGTACCTTGATTTTCCCACATTTATTAGTGTTCACCAAAGACCCTGTCGAATTGAGGCACCTAGTGAAGAATTTTATGCTGACTGCACTGGAAGCGTTGTGCTTCATCTCCACCGTCGAGGAAATTTGCTCATATTGCTCTTTAATCAACGTCACAATGTTCGAACTGTCCCCTTCCAGTTTACCAACTGAGGCGCCTTCGATGGTTTTCGCGAGTTGTTCGTAAATTTCGAGAGTGGACTGAGTGACAGCGAATATGACGTTGATGGAATTCTTCTTGACGCTGAGATTTATTTGTTCAATGGAAGGATAATCCTGGGTGGAAGACTCGGTGTAGGTGCCATTGGAGGCCAAGTGGCAGAGTCCGTCGTTGGGTTTAACGATACCACCCAGCTGAAAAAAAAGTTTCCAGTAAGTACTGTCTGTAGGTTAATCGGGGAGGTGGTACATTCATTATTCCAATATCATCTGACCAACAAATTTTCAATAACAAAGTCCACCACATTAAAAATGTTCGCCAACTCAACTCCTATCCAAAGAATTTTGTCGATAAGACGATTAATCATAACGACAAATATAATACCATACATTCCCGGCATATCTGAAAAAAATTAAACGTGTTGGTGATAAATTTCGAGTGAAAACTGTGTTCAAAACTTAAAATACAATGAGATCACTTCTTACTCAAACAAAACCGAAAATTAAAAACAATCGTCAAAAAAATGTATTTACAGTATACCTTGTGTTTGTGGAAAGTTTTATACAGGTGAAACCAAGAGACCCCTTTCAGTAAGGACGAAGGAACATAAATACAATATAAAGAAAAGACACATCGACAAATCGAAACTAGCTGAACATATCCTCACTGAAGATGGACAACATATGGCAGAGTGGAATAATATATATCCTTTTCCAATGATTTTAATTGGAAAAGGATATAACAACCAGAAGAGAAAAATCAAGGAATCTGCTTGCATTCTTCTGAACGGAGACAATAGCATTGCTTCCTGTTCAGTTGATATAGATAGAACGTGATATTCACTACTGAAATCTGAAAATGAAAATGGTAAATTCAAGATTGATTAATGGAAACATCCTGTAACTCATTTGATTGCCAACTTCACCAATTTATACACCAACAAATACGAACTCAAACTCACTGAACAACGAACTACACGGCAGGCCGAGAGTGCCGAGAGCACCGCTGAGGGAGCTGCTCAACTCGTTTACGATTTTCAAGGTTATGTAGGTTTGACAGGAAAACAATTGAAATGAGTGTTTCCTCGAGTTGACCGTATGGCGGCACTACTGTATCGGCCACAGAAACCTGTAGGTGATTTCCCTTGTTTGAGCAGACCAGATACTACAGCTCACTAGATTTTTTCTCCATATGTAGCAGACAATGGGAAAATTATTTAAACGCAGTGACATACACGTATATTGAAATTTCATATTTTTATTTTATAGAAACGAGGGGAGAAAATCCCAAAAAATCTGGAATAATGAATGTAGTACAGACAATATTTAATAGTTAGTAGGTTCCATTAAAACATTCTTCATGTCATTACCTTTCCATCCCCGGCATAATGGAAACTAGCATCAGTCGAAAATACGAGCAGCCTTCTAGCTTGTTCTCGCCAACCGATTTGATTTCGACAAACAACTGCTTGCATTATGGCATCGAAACCACCTTCGGGGGCATCCAAATTACCAGAGACATTCGCGTCTTTCACCATTTGCTACAGAACGAAAGAGTATCAGTTCCAATTCATTAAAAATCCAGCTAAAAATTCATTAGATCACAAATAGGGTGCTCGACGTCAATATTTTTATTGGTCATCAGTTTACATTGTGCAGTTGCCTATACAGGGTGTTTCACAGGTGAAGGGAAATATTTCAATGGTAGAAAGGGGACGCCAAGGTGGTTTGAAAACACCATATTTGATGGGTCTTACATTCTTTATTCACGACTAATATATTATACTTGTGGTTTTTGAAGTATAATGCCATATATTAATCCCGCAGGGAATAAAGACAATTAATCCCTCGCCATTATTCCCTGCGGGATTAATATATGGCATTATACTTCAAAAACCACAAGTATATATATTAGTCGCAAATAAAGTAGAGTATACTACTCGCAATAATGGCTATTATTCTCTCGGAATGTTACTCCCTCGCCGCTAACGCGGCTCGGTTCGTAAAAAATCCTCGAGAATAATAGCTATCATTATTGACTCGTGGTATAATCTACTATTATAGCGGAGAAACAGGGTGATTTATCGATTTCGGATAATTATTCATTCGTCCATAAGTATTGAACTACCCAGTATATTTTTCTCAAATTTGGTATGGAGCTTATACTTAGGACGTTGAATTCATTGACGTATCGGGCGGAATGGGAATCCAGGTTCGGCCTCACGAAGAATTTACATTAATACGAAATAAAAAAAAACACTGTATTTGATGATTTTTTTTTGCAATCGCATTACCTCGTTGGTCCCATCACTGGGACCAAACGCCCCATAAGTCGAAACTTGTGCGGGGTTAGGTAAGCATACAAACACAAACATTAAAAAAAGGCCATCAAAAGAATAAACAGGAAGTTGAAAATCTACTAGTTCAATAATCGCTCGAAGAAACTTACTTAGAGTAGGTACTTCTCGTATTAACTGCTACCAATTCTGAAGGAGTATGTTGAAATTATAATTTGAAAGTAAATGAATACTAGTGCTTAAGATATTCCTTGTTGTTTGTTAATACCAGAACAGTTTCAAATGGTAACTGTAGGCCCGTTATTAGGACAAAATATTGAATTAACCTCACTATTTCTTGTTTTCAATAGGCGGTGATTACTTATAATGAGTTTTGCTAGTTATTTGTATGAAAATGGAATCAAACAACGTAGAGACTAGTCGTAGAGTTGGTATGGAATGATATTCGTAATTTTTTCTTGAGTAAACTTCATTTTCATAATTTTTATACCTACTTTCCAAATTGACAATTTTTGAATATCCTGTTTGAAAGTTGGAATAGTTTTGAGACTGACAAACAACAGAAAATATCTTACGCACTAGCATTTATTCATAATTTTTATCCATTCAAATTAACATAATTTCAACATTCTGGTTTCAAATGTTACCAATAGAATTGGTAGCAGTAAATACGAGAAATATCTAATCTGAGTAAGTTTTTTTGAGCGATTATTCAACTAGTAGATATCAAATGATTATGATTAAAACAGGTTTCATAATTGTTATGAATCTATTCAAATTGACATTACTTTCAACTTTCTGTTTATGAGTGTTCCGATGAGAATTGGTGGCGGGAAAACAATAAGTATCAAATTCAAATCAGTTTTTTCTCCTCTTCATGATTCTTTGGAAGAACTTTGATAATCAATAAATACAGTGTTTTTTTATATTTCGAATAAATGTAAATTTTTTCTGAAGCCAAACCTAGATTTCCATACCGCCAAATAGGTCAATAAATTCAACGTCCCAAGTTTAACCTCAATACCAAATTTGAGGAAAATATACTGGGTAGTTTAATACTTATGGACGAGTGAATAATTATTCGAAGTTGATAAATCACCCCCGTATCTGTGTTAAAAAGACTGTGAGACTCCTCAAATATGGTATTTTCAAACCACCTTGGCGACCTCTATCTACATTGAAATATGTCCCTTCACCTGTAAAACACCCTGTATAGGTGGAATTCGTACAATAAAGACACTTCAGACATACAGCTCATGCAACAGCTCTTTGGGAGCTATCAGTTTCTCCAGGCCACCTTTTGGTACCAGCGCAGATCCCAATTTTGAAAAAATCATATCATATTCGTGGACTAATCGAGGTAATCTCATCTACTAGTTGTAAGACCATTTCATCAACAACAATGGCAACGATTTTCGATAAACACGAAAAATTTAAGACGCCCTCAATCCGCTATCATTGCACACTAGACTAGCACGTGATTGTTGCAGATGGTTTTGGCTAAAACTACCGATATTTTTTCATCGAACCTGTCGAATGATGTTCACGCATTTTTAAAATATTCGCACTGCCGGCATTCATTGACGTCACATCGCAGGTTTTACTTCGAATGTCATAAATTCACTCAGCTTGTCCTAAAACTCTGCAGACACTTTCTCAGGCAGTAAACTCATACATATTCTCTTTAGTACTCTTACAGAGATCACCTTGTATTGTATAGTACCAGCAAGTTGAATATTTGACAATATCGACAGTGTACTGTGAAAACTGAGATTCTGGCTGGTACCGATAGATGTCATAGAAAAACAAGCACCCAATGAAGCGTTGTCAGCGTACGCATGAGCGGTGTATATGTATTTTTATAGCGTTTCTCACTAAGCTAAAATTGTTCACTCAGTGTGCTACTATCCTTCTGAAATTATATGTGATGAAAAAAGACAAAAATTTAGGAAACTGGTATTGATTCAAGACCACAATGAAATTCATTAACAAAACTGTCAAACTGCTTGACAGAAAATCATGAAATTCAAAGTGGATTCTAAGGTCCGTTCGAAGGCGTACTTAAGTAGGAAGAATGGACAGACTAGACGCTAAGGAACATAGATTAATAAATATAATTGGTAGTATTATAAAACTGAAAATGAAGGAGTTACTTCAGACCAATAAAAATGTGTTTACAGTAAAAGAAATTTCATCAATATTCTATTTCAAAATTGAGCATGAATATATTTCTCAAGCACCCTATTGAAATAGATAAAAATAATTTTAATATTCACTCTGTACAAACTATTTCAATGTGTTAAATGAAAATCGGAAAGGCATTATTAACGATTGATGGAAATTTATAATAGAAAGCTGTGAATATAGTAAGTCAATTAGTATTGAAAGTTAGTATCAACACATTCGATTGGGATGAGATGTTAAAAAATATTAGTGTAACTACCTAAACACATCTTAACACCAAGTATATTAGCTTTCAATCCATTTACAGCAACGATCGTAACTTTGTTAACCTGGAATATTAAAACAAAATAAATTCCAATATTATTTCTGCCGACCAATCCCGAAGCACAACACACACAAAGCACCAGTTACCATTTTTAGAAGAGTTCAAAACGCAAATTATAATAAAATATCCATTACTTTTGTTCGAATTATGATATGATTATTTCAGCTAAGAATATAATTTAAAATTGTTAGTTCAATAGTAGAATAAAAAGAAATTAATATTAAAAAGAGGAATTACTGTGAATAAATAAAAACTCATTAATAAAATGTCTGATACCAAAACCGAGAATGAAAGCATTTGAACTGAATTTTATCTCAGTAAGTTAATAACTGTTAATTGGAAGTTGGTCAAAAGTCAAGCCGTTATTTTCTCTTTCGGTGCTGACTTACTGAAAATTGCCATGTATTATTCGATAATGTCATGGCATGTCTGTAACCATAAGGTGCTGCACAACCATCACACGGGTGCTTAAGACTATAACGAAATAAGGTTTACTATCAACAATTCATTGCAATCATTTCACTGTAAACTGGTATGGAAAATTACTAGTGCAAAATAACATCCTGAACGTCACAATACTAGATAGACTGGGGGAGATTAATGTGAAAAAACTCCACAAACGATGAGATTTACTCAGAATTCTTAAAAACACGACATGTTTCGAGTAGATTCTTCACGAATTTGAAAATAATTTCATTACGGTCCTGTTCGTACAAATCTCTATTCGGTGATTACCCGAGTGATCACACGTCACCCTACTACTCCTACAGTAGACTTTTGTTTGTCTATCGAACAGCTGTATACTAATTATTTCTTTTTTCATTTATCAAGTTATTAATACCTCAAAAAAAATCAAAATTTCAAATCAATCTATTGATTTTTCCGCAGAAAAATAGTTCAAAATGACAGAAATAGAATCCCTGTAAACACATCGACTTACATACCTTGGGAGAGGAGCAATTTGGAAAAAACGATTGAAAATACCTAAAGATACCAAGATATTACATCAATGAATTGTTCAACTTGATTTTCCCACAGAAAATATTTCTCCTTTGATACCCTAAACCTCGCAGATGCAATATTGACTTGGAAGCAATTCTAGAGGTATTCACAGATCACATGTTGAAAATCAATCCGAAGAAGTCAATTGCCATATTTGGAAACGAAAAAGTTTGTGAGCAGGCCAGTGATCATGAACTCAGAATTGAAGATTCCAAAATGAATTTCAAGTCTCACTCTAAAAACTTAGGACTTATTATAGACTCCAAGCTTAGTTTCACAAAACATGTAACCTATAAACTCAAAATAGCTTATACATCTCTGAAATTAATATACCCGTAAAGGAAATTTTAAAATATGGAAGTAAAAAAAACATTCAATAGTTCTGTCCCATTTCAATCACTGCTATGTGGTATATCACAAATGTTTAGATAGCAATGACACAAGGCGCATTCCAAAACTTCAAAACTCTTGTATGAGACTTATTTTTGATACAAGAAGTAGGAATAGAATTTCACGTAAACTTGAACATTTGAACTGGCTTAATATGATTAACCGCAGACGTCTCCACACAGCTTATACTTTCTTCAAAATAATCAAGTATAAGACTCCTCCTTACTTACATGAACAAGAACACACGTTCACAATTTGAATCTGCGATAGAAATTACTATTGAGTGTCCCTGCTCACAAAAAAGAAGTGTATAAGCGCTCGTTCTCTTACAATATTTCTGACA